AGTAAAGGTCCAAGACATTTCATGCTTTCATAGCTTTCAATGTCACTGTATAAAAAGTCAACGCTATGGAATAATCAGTTATGATTGTCGAAACAGATTCCACTGGGTGTAAAAGGCAAACGAGCGGTGAAAATTATAGATGAATCTCTGAAAATCAGTGATGCGACAAGGTACTCGCGAAAAGAGTAACATGTCCTGATATAACTTAAAGCGTCAAAACACTTTCCATAATCATTGGATATATCTACTAAAAAGCAGATTCGATGTACGATTCTGACTATAATTATCATGCTCGTGTTTATAAATCACAATCAAACAGTGATGATACCAGGTGTTCGCGAAAAGGTCAGCGTAAACTGCCCCACCTGTAATAAACACATGCAAAAAACAAGTCAATTGTTCCATCAAACCCATCCACTCACTGGTGTATCTAGCTTTGGGGTGTCAGTGTCTATCTGTGAATATGTGATGTCTTCACGCCACCAGGGCGATGTAGTTACAAGATGGTATGACCTGCTTCAGCATTTGAATTGGAAACATACAGGGTTTGTCGTCCACATGCCCCTGTACTTGGTCCGTATATGCTGACACTTATGTGACCATTAGACTTTAACGACTTAAAGTCCAAGGTGATGGTGGTCTTAGATGTTTATTAGTAACTAATAAGGGAGGAATATGCAAGGTGATGTCTGTCTTAGATGTTTACTAGTAACTAATTAGGGAGGAACCTTGAACATTGAACATGGCATTCACGAGGGATCCAACTGTGTAGAACTACTTGTGATGCCTTAGTAGACTTGGCTAGCCGTGACATCCGTATTGCTGATGACATTATAATCACTGAGGTACGTTTTGTGAACCTTCAATTCAACACATGTAAACTATTAAGATATAGCATTACATAAAGAAATGATGCTCATTAAGAGTAATAGGAATACAGCTGATTCCCGTTGATGTTAGAGATCCATCGAGTTGAAATGATTAAACAACACAAGCACTTATTCGTTATTTTCCCGTTTCAGGTTTGTGATTTAGTAGGGCGGTTTCATAAACAATAATGTTGGTGTCAGTGGCTCGCGTCCTTTCATAATTTTAAATTTGAAATAACTACATGGAAACTGAAACTAGAGATGTAAGGTTGCTGTTAGTTAGACACATATACACAAATCCTTTCTTGATTGAATGCATCGTTGTATAAGTACATAAACCCAAGAACATGAAAGTGTGTTTGATTGTTGCTGTGACCCAGTCCTTCATAATTCCGCAATGAGCAGGATTCAGGGTGCACACGTGTGTATGTCAATTGTGGAGACTGGACCAGAGGTTGATATCATGAGCAAATATACGGCGACACGCAATCCAACAAGTCACCGTTCATAACTTTATCTTTGAATTAGCAATGACCTCGAGTCGCGGTGACTATTCTTCACCAAGAGTCACTGATCCTCAAGGGGCCATGGGTGGCCCAGTCGCCTGAGGCTCCACGATTCGCTGTGAAGAGTTGCGTCCCTTGTTGTGGGTTCGAATCCGGGTTCTCCCAGATGATGTTTCTAGTTTTGTCAGCACGATGCTCGTGGGTTTCACCAAAGTGGTCACCGTCTGAGACCTGCATCACTTCGGGCTTTCCTCCAAGATCAAGCAGACACGCCGTGATATAACTGAAATACTGTTAAAAGCGGCGTTAAACCCAACTCACTCACTCACTCAAACATCAAAGTAAGGCAACTTACAGATTAACATCTAGTCTCTGAAATGAACATATCTTACAGAAATAAAGTTATTAAATTATTTCATAAATAAAACAAAGGAGCCCTGATACAATCTTCATTAACCTAGACTTGCCAAACATTATAGACATGCATGGACTGTATCTGCGATATTTGTATCAGGATCCGCATGACAGACTAAACAACTCAGTAAGTCACAGTGATTGTCTTTTATCCCGAAATACATTCACAAGGAACATGGGAGTCAAATTGTAACTCCCATCAAACTGTAAATACATGGTGGAGAATATGCAGGACTGCTATTAGCTTCACAGTTATCTAGGTCAGGTGAACAACAGACACACGTCCCTCAGTGCATGTTGTTTGCATCCTAACACTGCAGATATGAAAGCCTAACGCACAGTTCAAACCAAACGCCTCGCACATGTCAAGGCTGTTATCGTCATTTCCTTGATGTGGGTAGGGTAAGCCATTACGGTTTGAAGGTAGCTCACATTTTGAAGCAAAACAGAAAATTAATCATTACAAATTATATACATTTTGTTTCTAAGTTCTATTCATGATGTCTAAGTTAGTTCAGGCTGTGAGTAAGGGTAATCTCCAATAGATAAACTAACCTGTCCATGCTTGAACTAACTTAACCTCCCACATGTAGTAGCCGCGCCCACATTGTTACCCCGAGAATTAATAAGGGCTCAGCCACTAGGTCTGTTATGATTATGGAAGGAGGAAGTGAGAGTGGGAGTAAAAGCCTAAGTGTGATGTGGAGAGGGGAAACTTTGGGGTAGAGATGTTGTCAGGTTTGAAGTAGAAATTGCACCCTGATGTACTCAAACATTAATTCACTTTTAACAAAGTTGATTTACTCTCGTTCCGTACATGTATGATCTGTTGTTAACGCGTGAGTCATCAGAATAATACACACCATCAATCTCAGCAAAGGTGAGTGAGTGATTTGAGTTTTACGCAGCTTTTAACAGTATTCCAGTTATATCGCGGTGTGTCAGCTTAATGTGGGAGGAAAGCCCGAAGTGGTGCAGGTCTCAGACGTTTACTACTTCGGTGAAACCCACGGGCACAGGTATGGTGCTGACAAACCTAGAAACATCATCAGGGCGAACCAGGATTCGAACCCACAATCATAGGTTTCTGGCGTGTCCATGGGACGCAACTCTGCACAGCGAATCGCGGCGCCCAAGACGGCTGGGCCAACCATGCAAAGGGATCACATGCATTTATTATGTTTTTCACGTGGATGTCCAAAAGATGCAATGCATACATTCCGGATATTAGGCTCATTTCCACTAGCCACCTTGTATGTATTTTGTTGTTAAACACCTCACTCAGCAATAGTTCACCTATGTCACAGCAGTGTTCAAATATTCAACTGTGGATTAGCAAATCCAGTGATTGATATATGGATCATTTGGGTATGATGACACGAATCAACTAAAAGAGTAATCAACCCGATCCGTTAAGGGACTCGTTCGACCATAGGTTGCTAGGGGTCTATTGCAACCAGGGATATGCATGTGTGGACTTTGAATATAACCTTCCTATTCAATGTCGAGCCCAACAACACACACTCAACAGCGCGGTGAATGAGAACAGTTCATGCATGAACACAATGCGGACAGAACACAACATCAACAGACGTGGGTATGCCTGTGTAGCGATACATGCAGACAGGTTGAGCAGGACGCGTCTGTGCACAACATCAACAGACGTGGGTATGCCTGTATAGCGATACATGTAGACAGGTTGAGCAGGACGCATTATGTGCACAACATCAACAGACGTGGGTATGCCTGTGTAGCGATACATGTAGACAAGTTGAGCAGGACGCGTCTGTGCACAACATCAACAGACGTGGGTGTGCCTGTATAGCGATACATGTAGACAGGTTGAGCAGGACGCGTCTGTGCACAACATCAACAGACGTGGGTGTGCCTGTATAGCGATACATGCAGACAGGTTGAGCAGGACGCATCTGTGCACAACATCAACAGACGTGGGTATGCCTGTGTAGCGATACATGTAGACAGGTTGAGCAGGACGCATCGTAGAATTGTTTGCTGGGTTACCACCACATGTTACATAAAGGTAATGAACGTGGAAGTCCAGCATTTCACAAATTGTTTTCTCAGAAAACTTCAATTTATGACAAATTGTCCTGAACCTCTGAAGATACGTAACTGTATCTGTGGTCTCTTCGTTTTATAACAAAAGCTCCACGGATCAAGGAACGAAGTTTTTCCTAGCCTCATGTTTGTCATGTGGGATTGTGGTGTATAAAGTTGAAAAAATCAAATGTATTGACAGAACAGCATTTATTATTTTCTGAGATTGCATAAAGTCAACAAATCTTTGAGAATGCACATGTTTTTAGTTTCAAATACTTTCTGTGAATATAACGCAAATCGTTCTTGGCTATGTTAAGGATTATGGTTTGTTCTTGAGATTTGGTGGTACATTTGCTGAAAATAAATATCATAACATATGATAACATATCCTTGATACATGTATCAGTAGGCGACCCGTGAAGATCCGGTGTAGAATAGGTCTTCAAAAACCCATGTCACCGTAACGACGACGTAAGAGGCAACTATCGAGATCGGGGTGGTCAGGCTCACTTGACTTGGTTGATGCATCGCATCATATCCACATTGTGTACATCGATGCTCATGATGTCAATCCCTGGATTGTCTGGTCCAGACTCGATTATTTACAGACCGCCGTCATATAGCTCGAATATTGCTGAGTGCGGCGTTCAACAACAAACCAACAAACCGACAGCCAAATCATCCAACTTATTGACCTGTAAAGGGTTTGGTTTGGTAAAACTCCTTTCAACAAATAACACGTCACCTTACTTGATTCATATTTGTGTAAAGGAACATGCTTTATCCACAAACAAGGCCAAGCTGGCGGGTAACAGAATATGAATAAGCGCTGTACAGTCTTGAATTGCAGAGACACGGAAATTAATAGACAATTATTAATGTTTTTTACAAATATTTCCGTGAGTCGGCAAATGAGTCTCAACATACACACATGTATACACTATTTCCAGAGGATAAATGATTGAGAATCACTGTACAACCAGTAGACGCGTGAACGTCTAACGCTGCAGTCAGCAATATTCCGACGCGTGAAGATTCGGGGTATAATAGATCTTCAGCAACCCATGCCTGCCAAAAAAGGCGACTAACAGGATCGGGTGGTCAGGCTCGCTGACTTGGTTGATGCATGTCATCGATCCCAATTGCATATATCAATCACTGGATTGCCTGGTCCAGATTCGATTATTTACAGACCGCCGTCACATAGCTTGAGTATTGCTGATTGTTGCGTAAGACAACAAACAAAGCAAACCTGACTCGCTGGGGAATCGAACCACCGTCTTCCGCTTTCCGCGCAGACGTTCAATCGAGGAATAATATTTTGTCAACAATTGACGTTTCGGAAATATTCGATTTCAATCCAGATGAGGGGCACGGGTGGCCCAGAGGTCTGAGGCGCCGCAATTTGCTGTGCAGAGTTGCGTCCCTTTGGCACGCCAAAAATCGGCGTTAAACCCAATTCACTCACTCTAAGCACGTGATATTTTGGAGTATATGTTGTCAAAGACAGCAGCAAGTTCCCGCCTGCCTACATCTGCAACGTCATAAACATCATCCGCTCCACCACCAGCTGCACCTCCACTTCCACAGTTTCCATCAGGTGACCCACAAGGCGTGGCCATGTCTTTCAGTGGTGTCTCAGAATACCATTCCAGCTCCACAACAGGTTCACCATCCATGTCGTCAACAGAGTCGCACACGACGTCCTCTGTCTGCGTGACACTGTGGAGTAAGAAGAATGCAAAACTATGTCATTAACTGTGGACATCCTTTTCAACATGAGCACGAGAATAGCCGAATGATGGTTTCTGAGACTTACGGATTGGGTAGTTAGACTGATTAGCCATACAACGACTTATGCATGACCCTAAACCCAAACACATAATGTATATAAAAATCATGGTTGAATTAATGATATGAAATTAGATGACGATCTTGCCAGTCTCAGAAGAGTTCAAGTGACCGTTGATTTAGCTTTATGATCAAGGGGGCGTGTATTGCTACTAGCTACAGTGGTGGACACAGGGTACTGAGCACACCAGAATGGAGATAATGCGTTGATGGTGCCTGACATTGTATCTCTAACTTTTTCTCTCAACGTTTGTGAAACATATCTTTACTCAAGTAACGTAGGGTTGCACCATAACTAGTTTATTGCAATTGAATGCTGAATGAATTGCCTGATGTTATGTTCAACATCTCACGCCGCGGGGTATAGTGAGACACAGCACCCCACGTCATAGTCACATTGATCTCCATGTTGGATTTAGATCATTTGTTTGGGCCATTTCTATATTTAGTGGGTTTCATTTAAGTTGTAAAGGGAAGTAACTAGTGTTGTTGTTAGTATCGCTTTGTGCAAGAGACTGGGCTGTGACAGGGGACTGTGGAGGATATAACACGTTGATTATTTAAGTAAATACAAAACTTGTAACCGAAGGAGTCAGACATTACTAAGTTGACCATTTGTTTACAGTTTTGCGTCTAAATATGAGTATATTTCACTGATGACTCTGAGTTGTATTACAGTCATTCAAGCCGCCAGGGCTACTTCAGTATTTGTGGCAACGGCACCCTTCAACTTCGAACAAGTGTTACAACATGTGACTAGAACAAACCCGACGAAGCTTCAGAATGACTTTGCGTCCTCAATCCTTGAAACCCACACTCCATGTTAGTCAATTGTTACGAAAAGCATGGTACAGTGGCCAGGTTGTGATTGGAATATTGCTGGCAGTATTGCTAACTTTGTCTCAGTCATCCACTCACTCACCTTTTTTGTCTGAAGCGTTGGCAATATTTGCAGCACAGAACCACGAACACCATCACCAGGAAGCTGATAGCTGCCCCAGACACTCCTGCAGCTAGTCCCACTGTAGCACCTGACACAGAACAATGCCAGTGTGAAACTTGATTCATTTCTTTAACTCTTGCACATGGAGAACGGCAAAACAGAAGCAAGTCATCACACTGAATTTTGAACGAGTGTAATACTAATTATAATGTATAAATACGACGCGTGTGACACAACAGGAATAGTGTATCCTATCGTTGTCCTGGCAAAGGATCGATGTGTTCACGAATGCCATGCTCATCTCTCTAGGGAGTTTACAGTATGGTCTTGAGGAGAGTAAGTTATCAATTAATTCAGGCGCCAATACATCCAGATTCACGACCATACCCGTAGTAGGAGTGTGCACATCCAGATATCGAGACTACTGTATTTTGGAGAGAGAGAGAGAGAGAGAGAGAGAGAGAGAGCGAGGGAGAAAGAGAGAGAGAGAGAGAGAGAGAGAGAGAGAGAGAGAGAGAGAAGAGAGGAGAAGAGACACTGATTCTCAGCTAAATGGTCTATTTCACATATCAAATGTTAAAAAATATATTTCTTGATATTGAAAAACTTAACTTATTTTCAGTAAAAACAGTATTCAGGCTTTCAGAATTAATCATTGGGGGACCCAAATGACATCAGAGTTGTTTTTAATGATAACGGAAATAACATATGTCAAATGTCCTGTAGTCAGATACGTTAGACTGCATGTTATCATTGCAATCAAAATATATTGCACAGCATTAATTAACTTGCAAAAAGGGCTATTGTCATTTGCATAGGACCACATATTATATCATTTTCAAACGAAGTCATTGCCTAAGGATCATTTGTCTCAAAACAGGAAAGTGTCGCGGACACCTGTTCAAGAAACACATTTTCTACAGATATAAGCAAATAATAACAGACACATATTAGCTATGAAAGTTTGTTCATTTTGCAAAAATAACTTGATAACAAACATTGGTACAAATATCGAACAAACTACATGCCAAGTCCCTGGCCTTCAAGAATTAGTCTACTGAGAACACAGCAATAATCTTCAACTGCAAAAACTGACGTATCTGATGTCAACCTGAATCAACAACACAAGTTCACAAGTGGCCGATCTTTGGCTTAAAAACGTCTGAAGTTTAAACATTTATATGAAAGATGAGGTTTATATTTTCTCCATATGACATTTAGCACAAACTCTAACATAACGTATCTGATGCTTTTTGAGGCATTGTGGTTGAAATCTTGGCAATTCGTAAAAAATACAAAGTGAATGTTCATTTGAATGCCTTCTCAATACGGGCGACGTCACGTGCAGCTACGTTGTACTGGCGCCTTGTTTTGCCAATAGCGACCGGTTCATCAATAAAGCAGAGCACATCGTCAAATTCTATCCAAATTTCATCAGGACGAGATGGCCACTTGTAGGTCTTGCCTTTGTCTTGTGTTTTCTCCATGAAAGTTATTTTGGTATCGCCATCATCTATGTCAACTTCGAGAACCTTCCCGATGAACCAGTTACCATCATATATGGCAGCCAGAAATCTGCCAACAACTGGGACAGCAGGTACATGTGGTGCAGCAGGTACAGGGGATTCAGAAGCCTGTGTGGGCTGCAGTACATGCGTTTCCTGGAATATGGTTTGGTCAACATGGTGACGGCGCCAACCAACACATAAATCATTGCCGCTCAGACAACCTGTACAGTAGCATGATACAGTTCTTGAAAAAAGAACCCCATTCTGCTGCATGACTGCGTGCAACTTCATTGTGCCATGTACAACCTTTGCGTTAGAGGTAGCTATGTCCTGTGCAGCCTTCTCTACTTCAGCAGTAGAGTAGAATCTGTATTGGATTGATTTTTGATTGTGTCTCGCCCACTCATAAAAATCGTGGGCATCTTGAATTGTCGCTTTGCCTTGTTTTACTGCATCAGATGCCTGGCGTTTACATGCACCTCCTAGTCCATCACATGGACCTTTCCCGTGTCCACACTCAAAATAGTTCCAACGTGCCTCAAGCCCAAACAGCTCCTTATGCTTCAGAATGACATCAAACATGTACCGATTTCTGTACTGTGATGACGGGCTATCAGTCCAATAGTGAACATGCGTTGCATCAGGGAAAGTGGTTTTCAGTTCAGGTAACATCCGTTTTAGGATTGTAAGTACCGCAGTCGAGTTGTGCTGATTGACGTCAGACACATAGATAAAGTTTTTGTGTACCAGTTTGTCCAACTTGTAGTAGACCACTACAGGGTGAAGCGTGACATTTGTTGGGTTCCAGTATGCACTTTGGATTTCATCCATGCTGGAACATGTAAAGTTCTCAGCAAAGTCCATCTGTATGATGATATGGCCATCTGGGAGTGTATCCTTCAACTCATGGATAGCTGCATATTGCGACTTTACTCTTCCAACGTGGTCACGGAACTCAGCAAATTCAAGTAGCATATACTTCTTGAAGTCAGTGGCATTCTTTATTATCTTCACGACCTTCATTTTCTTTTTCCCCTCAACATCCACACGCCTCCACTCATCATATTCAACGTCATCCTGAATAGTTTCCAGCATCTGATCCATTGCGTCCACGGATACACTGTCATACGCCATATCCGGTGATTTTGGAACTTGTAATCCAACACTTCTCAGACTTTTGAGTTTCATGGCCATATTCTGATGTTTGTTGCATAAGCAAGTGTTTCTTGAAATGTGTGATGTGAGCAAGATGTATCTGGGCCGTAGCCTACAGAATGATGCAAAAGACAGTTTCATATTCTGGTTTTCAATCTTGAACTTAGCATACACCTCAGACAGATAATCATTCATTATTCTTGTTTGATCTTTGACACCATTTAGGCTCTTGGAATCTGCTTTGCCTGGCATACATACGCTGATATCATCTCTCTCCATGAATGAGACAATTAGTCTCTTAATCTGCTCTCTTACGAGAGTGAGACGGGCTCTTCCTCGAATCTCTATTACCTTAGAGGTGGTCCGAGATAAACTTCTTCGTGACAAACCTGTAGCCTTGTTCAAACCCGACACACATCTGTACTTCTTAAGTACTTTCCCTCCAACAAGAGATGTCATCACATTCATTTTGCTTTGCTTTTTGTTGGCTGTGACACTTTCTTTAATTTCTCCAAAAAGGACATTAGCCATTGTTAATTGTCTAACAACAGTAGCTGGCAAGTGACTGGGACTCACACCGTTTTCCCGGAGATCATGTCTGGTTTTTGTTGAAGGTGTTGCTTCAGACTGTTGTTGAAGACTGCCTGTCGTCTGATCCGAGCTATTTTCAGTATTGTTGCGGCTAGTCTGTTTGGATGTCCCATACTTCGCCTTCATCCTCTGATATCGTTTCTTCCATTTCTGTTGCTTCTTTTTGTAGCTAGAGAGTTGTTCAGTCAACTCTTTTACTTTTGTATTTGCTCTTTTCAGTGCACACGAGCGTTTTGGTTTTCTCTGTTTATTTGGAAAAGTCATTTTGACCAAGAAAGGACCTGGGCGTGACCTTGACTGCCGAGATGCATCAGTACTGCTTGATACTGTGTCGACCTGGTCAGTTTCTGCATCAACGACCACATCTGTGACCTCAACTATGCTGGCACCTTGTGCTTGTTTCTGTGTTTTCTTTCGATCCCGGTATGCTTTACTATAGAGTTTATTCCTTTCACGAACTGCCTTTTTTTTCTTTGTTTGCATTTGATCAATTGGTATTCTGTACCCTTTGACTCGAGCACGTTCTTTGGCTAGATATTGACTGTCATTTCGTTTCTTTCTTTCTCGATACACCTTTTGGTTTTCTGCGTCTGTTTTCGCCATTTTCTAAAATCAAGCATAGACAAAAACATGCTGAAACAGTCGTCGAAGTGAAAGAGATGTTTGCACTATGAAATAGCCACCCTTTAAAAATGTTCATACTTTATTCTTTGTGAAATATGCTAATTTCATCAGATACGTTATAAAAATCATCACATACGTTAGTTGGTATTTAGGTGTTTAGACAGGAGCTTGAGTAAAATATAGTACTTTTCCTATCAATGAAATGCATACCGACAGAAAACATCAGTAGAATGTTGTGGTCTTCACTTCAGAAACATATCTAATCATTAAATTACATTCGTAAACTACGTTAGGTTGGCATCAGATACGTTAGGTTGGAAAACATGCTCTTTGGGAATTGCTAATATACAGAAAGGGATTCATTTTTTCCATCCTAATGAACAGAATCTATTTTATCAAATAATTATCACCTATGGGGTGGCTTTCAATTCAGATGACCCATTTACTAAGATGGCAAAGATTACTTACCAATTTGTGATGGATTGTTGAGAACCGAAACCAGGTTGCAGGACGTTCTTGGCTGAAAATCGGAAGTAGAGAGGTGGCACGGCACGCATGTGCATTGATAAGATTCAACTTATCGAGATTACTGAAGTTCGATGACCATCTTCCGATGTCGCTGGTGTTATCTAACGTATCTGACAAAATTGTATCTGATGACAACTTTGCGAATTGGTCAGAAATTTCGAAAGTATACTCATGTCAAGGTTTGGGATGGACATTTCTCATAGGTGACACGTTGTTTTATGAAAGTAACAAACACAACATCATATATTGTAGTTTATCAGGCGTGTGCGGCAATAAATCATGCTAACGTATCTGATGAAAAGTATCGTACCCAGCTGGTATAATTTTGTGATTTTGTGATTCATGATTTTTCTTTAAGTTTTTTAAGAAATTGATGATAAAAAGTGTTAAGACTATGCTTGAACAAATGATATCTGACACATTGTGTTATAATGTTTGTTTAGTTGGTGTGTGACTTCTTCACACAAAAGTGACCAACGTATCTGATGGTAAAATCGGGGACAGTAGAATATTGCTAGCCAAAGATATTTTATCAGAACCATTGCTTGAAAACTGCTGGTAATGATGATATATGATCATTACGCATGAAAAAAAAGAGTAAAATGCAGTAAAAATGTGCAGAATATTTAATTATTCAGTGGAAAAGTCACACACTGAGCACGGGGACAAGGCTGGGGACGACTTTATAAGCAACACTATAGACTGGTGAACATACAAACTGAACGAAGTACATCAACATGTGTATTCATTTAGCCGTTCAGCTTGCATTATATGATTTGTAACAGAAAATATAGTTTCAGCTAAGATATTAACCAGGTTTTCCGCAGGGGACAGCACAATTGTGTAATTTACCATTTAGCTGAGAATGAATGGAGAGAGAGGGGAGAGAGGGGGAGAAGAGAGAGAGAAGAGAGGGGAGAGGAGAGAGAGAGAGGGATGAGAGAGAGAGTTTGTATATCTGAACGCTTCAACAAGGAAGTGACACGTTGAGGGTATCACACGGCCATCATGACTTTCTCTCAGTTCCAGCTAATATCAACATACTATATATGATACCTCAATGATTGGAATGATTCATTTACATGAATACACGTTACTGACCGAAGATGATCAAGGTGTTGATTGTATATTCATGTATATGTGATTACCTGTAAACAGGCGTCCGTCTCACTCACTCGGTTACAGGACTACTGACACATTAAGCAATTTCACCGAGAGTATAAACTACAAGTGCTGATCGCCAAATAAATATCTACCATATGAATAGTCATGCCATTAAAACCTTTTTGTTAAACTATCCCTACCATCACAGCCAGTCCCGTAGTAGGAGTCCACACATCCAGACACACAGGAGGAGCCCAGCTGACAATATCCTCCATCACAACCACCTGGACATGCTGTACAGTTACCTCCTGGACTGTCACATGGTATGTTGCAGCTGGCGTCTTGATATCCTGGGACACATCCGTCAGTGCAGTTGCCAGAACCATAGCTTGAGATCACACATGTGTTGTTCCTACAGTTCTTGCTGCAGGTAGAGTTACATTTACGTCCGTAATACCCAGGGTCACACTCAGTGACGCAGTCCCCGGACTCTCTGTCACAGTCTGAGCAGTGATAGGTTTCCTTGCATGAAGTGGCTGAAAGTTATAGTACAGGTATTATTTAATTGTTATTTTTGAATATGAACATGAGTATGTCCCTAAACAAAAAGATAAAATGCAGTCGATGCCCTGATACCATGGCACACAAACATCAATGCAGTACCCGCATAGCCAGTACTTTATTTGTTCTTACAGGCATCACTGCAAACTGAGCTGCACATCTGATCATAATACCACCTGTCACACTCAGTGAGGGATTGTCTCGTCGTGTTGTCACAGTCCGATGTCAAATGTGCTTTTGTACTATTTTGTAACCGGCAGCTCATTAATTAATTCCTATGTCCTTGTCAAATTTTAATATCAAAAGAAAACATTCATATAATGGTACCGGTGACCTGTCGTCCAAGGCATAGCCCAGAGGCTTCACAGAAAACTATGATAGTTGAACCCTGGTGTATATTTCTAGTTTTGACAGTACTATACTCATGCTCAAAGTTTTCACCAAAGTGATGGGCGTATCTACATCAAGCTGACACGCCGTGATATAACTGAAATATTGTTCAGATCAACATTAAAACAAATTCGCTAACTTTTAAGAACATGCAAGTCCCGAATGACATGCATTGACCAAGTCAGTGAGCCTGACCACCCGATTCCGTTAGTCGCCTCTTACGACAAGCATAGTCGCCTTTTATGGCAAACATGGGTTGATGAAGGCCTATTCTACCCTGGATCTTCACGGGTCCACAGGAATGACTTACATAGTTCAATATAAGTAATATTTTTTCAACTTGACGTTTCTCTACTCGTACATTTATCAGGCTAGTGATACGTCGAGAAATATTAAAGCATTTGACACCCACAGGGTAATTACCGACTTTGAAAGTTTAATACCTAGTTCACAGAGCCACACACAAACATATGCATGCACATCGCTATATAAGTGAAAACAATCTTGAACATAATCCGCATTTTACGTCACCTCATACAACAATCCTGTCGCCATTAATATCACAATGCTAAAGTATGGATATTACCAAATATTAAGACCAGATCACCAATATTAGCAATAGAATGCAATACTTCAGCTTTCCAATAGTCGACTTTCGCTTCATGTCGAGCAATACTCCAGCTGCTAAAGCCTCTGGTGGTTGCATTTCACAACTTTTGAGATACAATCGAGCATACTCATTTTACCAAGATTTCAAAGAGCCTCGTTGATTGATCAAGGTTACAACACGCAGTGCCTAATGGAACTATTCAAAAAAGATTTCAGGAAGACACGTGGAGGATATTTCCAAATTTGACGCATCAGTGACAAACATGATGTCTGATACAATTCCCTAGTTTGACTGTGTATCATAGGCTCCCATGTTTCTTCAGGTGAACAGTTTACTTGCCTGTGCATGTGTTTGTGACGAATGCTACAAGTGGGGCAGGATACGCTCACCTATTCCTAACACGTGGTATCATCACTGTTTGATAGTAATTCATAAACACATGGCCATGACATAGTCAGAATCGTACAATCGACTCTGTTTTGAGAAGACAGTAATATTGAATATAGAAAGGGTTTCGTCACTTTCGTTTACCTTCAGTAGCAATTACCAAGCATGCTATCCACATCATCACCGAGGCAGCCATTGTGTTGACTGAAACTGAATTGAAACAACAAATAAGTTCACGTTGACATACATAATGCAACAAGACTATGAAGAGCATAACAACAAGGGTTGGAAAGTATCGGAAGTACGTCAGCATAGTAGTTTCCAATTGAATTCTTCATCATATTGTCATAAAGCTACTTTTACATGTATACGTTTACAAACCATCCGTCCTTTGAGACGCTGTCCGTCATTTGTAATAAAGTTGCTGACTGATGCCCAATGCGACATGCCACCTGACATGCATGTAAGTCTTAGCTTCATTAGAGATAGATGAGCATAAATTTATTCATGTCCATTCAAATGAAATTGTATAATATCCATGGCATGTATTGTCCAATCAGAATGATGTAAGTACTCCGGAAATGTATTCATCATGATGTATACAACTGTATGCTTGTACTTATATAAGTCGACTCACGGGACTCGAGACACGCTGTCTCCGGACCCCCGTTCACACTCTAGGACGACGCCTACCAGTGTCTGTTTGATAAGACTCTACATACAATAAGATTTATGTCTTATGTTGGATCTCATATGGTCAGTCTGTGACCTGGTTACACCATTACAGCTTCAACTATACACAGGCTGGTACGTGGCATTAAGTGACACTATGAAGACTCTGCATACAATAAGATTTATGTCTTATGTTGGATCTCATAGGGTCAGCCTGTGACCTATAACACCATTACAGCTTCAACTATACACAGACTGGTACGTTGCATTAAGTGACACTATGAAGCTGGGAATCAGGATGGATACTGAGCATGCACCACTGTATCGATTCTGGTGATTTATTAATATTCAGTGATATAATGTAATGTTTAATTGTGAAGTTTACATGAAATACACTGGAAACAAGCTCCGTCGTTTACACATGTCCTCACTCAGTGAAGATTCGACCTGTGAAGATCCGGGGTAGAATACGTCTTCAGCATCCCATGCTTGCCGTAAAAGGTGACTATACTTGACGTAAGAGGCGACTAACGGGATTGGTTGGTCAGGCTCGCTGACTTGGTTGATGTATGTCATCGAATCCCAATAGCTTTGATCGATGCTCATTATGTCAATCACTGGATTGTCTGGTCCAGACTCGATTATTTACAGACCGCTGTGATATAGCTGGAATGTTGCTGAGTGCGGCGTTAAAAAACAATCAATCAGCCAATCAATCGATCAATGAAGATTTATACCTCAATGAACTCATGCAAAGTGAAAGTCAATCCATGAAATGTCAACGTTTACAACACCCGTAGATACTTACATTGATCTTCATCTGCATCACGCGTGTGTCAGTGAGGGTTGGTGATCTACATGTTGTCATACAACTACCACTCTTCTAGCACGGAAGCTAATCCCTGCTAATTGTGGTATCCCTCACCCAATCAACTTACCCGGAAGATGGAAATGAACACTGCCACGTGGAGAGGAGGACATATTATCAGGCACATATCAGGCAAAAGTTATTTTCTCATCCCTACAATTAATCACACAATAACAGCACTGACATAGTCTTACATCAGGAAATTGTGTTCAGTAAGAGGCTTGGGAATACAGATTATTCCCGTTGATGTTGGAGATTCATGGAGTTTCAATCTTTAAACAACGTATGCACTTGAATCGTTATTTTTTTCCGTAACAGGTGCCTGATTTAGTGGGATGGTTTCATAATCAAGAAAACTGGTGTCGTTGGGTCATGTCCTTTCAAAATTAGCAATTGGAAATAACTGCACGGAAACCGAAACAAGACATGTAATGTCAAATCATGTCGCCGTTTGATGCACAGATTCACATATTATTGCCTGACTGAATGAAAACATTACCTTATAAATATGAAAACCAAGGAACATGAAAGTGTGTTTGTGATCCTTCACTTAGCCGCATTCACCAGAATGCAGGGTGTGTCATAAGTGTCTGTAAATTGCGAGTGAGTGAGTGAGTTCAACATTTAACGTCACATCGGCATTATATTGATATTTACACAATTTACACAATTTATTAATGAATACAAAGTTATATTAACACACAATTTATCCAACATATTTGGGTACAACAATATCATTTAGACAGTTTTAACATGGGCTATAGGCCACCAGTTACCTAAGCTAGGCCACCTCACTGGGGATCATGAGGACATACAGTACCTCTGCTTCCTGTAAGATACCCCAGCAGGATTTACGTCATCAGTTTAGCGACTGGTGGTTGTGCACAATACTAGACAATATCAAACAATAGTTAGCAGTGAGTTGGCTTAAAACACTGGTTGATGGTAGTGACATCAATTATGATATTACGTGTCACACAAGGGGGGGGTCAATAATTTTACCGAACTTCAACCTCCTGGACACAGAGCTGTCAATAAGCTGGGATTGACTGATTTGAATGCAATTTAGTGATATATTGCAATGACAGTTTAATGCGGCGCTGTGTGAGGGAAGGTTCATCAGCTTCAGCATACAAACTGATCAGATAGAGGTCCTGAAAGCTCTAAGACAGTCCCTTAGGCCTTGGTGGTGTATTGTGTCCTCTACTACCCTGATAGGAGTACCATCTTAACATAAATCTTGATCCTTGTAGGGTTTATATTTACGACAAAAATGGATACAGTTTGTTTTGGATTTAGAAAATTTAAAGCCATTTTCATTGACCAAATTTTGAATTTTGTTAAGACTGCGCTGTAGTTGTCTTTCTATTGTGTTCATTGTCTTACCACAACAAGAAATGTTGAAATTGTCCACAAAAAATGAACCATCAACGCTATCGATGCTGAAAAGTGTGGCTGATAGTATGCTGCCTTGAGGGACGCCATGATCTGGATCGTAGTGGTAGAGCCCACTCGTACTTGAAATTGTCTGTTGTTTAAAAATTCAGATATGAACTGAGGTAATCTGCCCCTCAATCCAAATTCATGCAAATCTTTTAAAATGTCATGTTTCCACGTTGTATCATATGCCTTCTCCAGGTCGAGAGAGATTTATACAGTATGTTCTTTGGCAATGGAAGTTTTAATAAATAACTCTAAACGCATCTGATGGTCAATGGTGCTTCTGTTTTTTTTTCGGATACCACACTAGGTGTCGCTCAGGAGGTTTTTGACTTCCAAGCACCAGACTAATCGAGTGTTGACCATGAACTCCATGGTTTTACAAGCACAGCTAGTTAATGACATTGGTCGGTAATTTGATGGATATGTATGTTCCCGTCATGCTTTGGTATAGGAATGATGATAGAATTGTGCCATGAAGGAGGGAAATTTCCGGTTGTCCATATTTCATCCAACATATTAAGCAGTGCTTCCAAATATGAATCGGGGAAGTGTTTCAGGAGCTGATAATGTATGTTATCGGCGTCTAAATTGTTGAGACTGGACAAGATACAGAAGGGGTTGATATTTTGAGCAACGATAAGACGATGCACAATCCAGCAAGTCATCGATTACCAACTTTAGTTATCTTGTAATTAGCAATGACCTAGGTTGTTTAGTCGCGGGGACAGTACTCCACCAAGTACCACTGATCATCAACTTCAGTTATCTTGTAATTAGCAATGAGCTAAGT